GAAAGAAGGGAGAAAGAAAGAAAAAGAAAGGAAGGAAGGAAGGAAGGAGGAGAAAGAAAAAGAAAGAAAGAAAGAAAGGAGAAATTAAGGAAGGAAGGAGAAAGAAAAAAGAAAGAAAGAAGGGAGAAAGAAAGAAAAAGAAAGGAAGGAAGGAAGGAAGGAGGAGAAAGAAAAAGAAAGAAAGAAAGAAAGGAGAAATTAAGGAAGGAAGGAGAAAGAAAAAAGAAAGAAAGAAGGGTGAAAGAAAGAAAAAGAAAGAAAGGAGAAATACAGCAACATATTGATTACATTTTACTGCATTTTTTTAAATGAATACTAACATGCAAATATATGTTTAATTTTATTGACCATTTATATTTTTATTCCTGTGAGTAGTTCTTGTAGGGGCCCCAGTGCATTCCTTTGCCAGGGGCCCATAATGCTTTTAAGACAGCCCTGTTGCAGCCCCTGAAATACTGGAATATTGCTATCATGCCACCTCTAATTGTTCTTTTCTTTAGACTAAAGATAAAGGTTCCCCTCGCACATCTGTGCCAGTCGTTCCCGACTCTAGGGGGCGGTGCTCATCTCCGTTTCAAAGCCAAAGAGCCTGCGCTGTCCCAAGATGTCTCCGTGGTCATGTGGGCAGCATGACTCAAGGCCGAAGGCGCACGGAACGCTGTTCCCTTCCCACCAAAGGTGGCTCCTATTTTTCTACTTGCATTTTTACCTGCTTTTGAACTGCAGAAGCTGGGACAAGACACGGGAGCTCACTCTGTTACGCTGGGGATTCAAACCGCCAAACTGCTGACCTTTCTGATTGACAAGCTCAGCGTCTTAGCCACTGAGCCCCCGCGTCCCACTTCTTTCGACTAGCCAAACTCAAATCCTGCAACTTGACAGCTACAGGAGGAATGGGTAGAACCACCCTGAAGGAGGACTTCAGAATGGTCTTCCCGAACCTAATTTTTGGCCTGAGAGGAGAACATGCAAAGCACCCAAGAGAAAGTTAGTGTGTCCTTTCTCTTGCATCAACGGTATGACCTCTGTCCTCTTCTGCTCTCCCAGCAAGGCTCTCTGTATTCTTGATACCAGCCTCTTGAGGGCACTGTCTCTACACCTTCTTGAGAAGATAGGTTGGGAGGCTATTAGCCAAAGAAGTCTATAGATCCTATAAGAAGAATCCTTTGAAGAACCTAGATGCTTCCTAGCTTCACGACTGGGGAAAATGTTGTGGCCCACCAGCGGCCAGTGAGGCTGGCAGCAGATTCAGAGAGTGAGGAGGTTGGGGAGGAACCTGGGCCAATCCTGGAGTCTGGGGAAGGCTCGGATGAGGGCTCTGTGTCGGAGGCAGAGAGGGAGCCAGGGCCGTCTGACAGTTATCAGTTGCCTTCGGAGTCAGACATCAGTGAAGCAGAAGAACAGCTGCAGCCTGTTCCCAGCGCAGAGTTGCTAGACGAAGGGGGCAGCTAAAGAACAGGGGTTGACTTGGGAGTAAGGCCACAAGTGGACGATGAATGGCCCCTCCCAGGAAATAAAAGAGGAGCGAAAGGGGAGTGGAGTTTGCAGGAGACAATTAATTCACTTCATTTGCAGGCGCCTGGCAGCTCTCCAAGCCAGATAAGGTCTGTGACCGTAAATCCTCCCTGGAAAGACTTTGCTGGAGGTGAATAAGCAGAATTCACAGCAAATTAATAAAAGGGTTTTTTTGTGGGGACAAGGAGTTTGCTTCATGCTCTTGGGAAGCCTCGGTCAGAACAGAAATGGGCCATCTGGTTGGAGAGGGCATGTCTCAGATAGACTCCAGGATCCATTTCCAGGAACAGTGCCGGATTTTCCTATAGGCTAACTAGGGTTCAGCCTAGAGTCTCAAGCTCAAGAGGGGCCTACATTCAAATTATTAGCAAAATTAAAATTACACTATTCTAAAAACAGTGAAC